AAAACAAAAACATATTTTTTTAATTTTATTATTTGCGCTTTCTGTCTTGTGTGTGCTTCATAGTTCTGGCAATGAGTTGCTATTTTTGTGTGTTGACACACAGTTGTGGATCGATTGCAAATAAGCTGAGAAAGCTCCAGGTGACTGCGGGGTGACAGGGCCGTAAACGCAACGCATTCCCGGGGGTGTCCGGTTCGTGCGTAAAAGCGCATTTTTGGGCACTTTTTTCCTCCTCGCAGTCAGTTTTTTTGTAAGGACTGCAAACACTAATCCTAAGAACTGCTTTTATATAGATTTTTTTTTTTAAATCTTAAACGTGTCAGATTGAACATTGCGGCCCTGGCGCGTTCAGAAGAGCTGGTTGCGGACAGTAGTCCCTCCTGCTGCTTCACCTCAGTTTATAGCCGCAGCCCAACTTGTTCCTCTGTTAATATTTGATGCCACAGCAGCGGTAGTATAGTCATGACTCGCGCGCGCAGCTCTGGATCACGTTCACCCGCATGGAAACGCAATCTGTAGGACTCTGGAGTGGGGGTGAAAAGAAATGGGAAACCTGGTTGTAGGAGCGCGTGTTTAATTATTTGCGCAGATGTTTTTGAGGGTACTAATCAGGAGGATTAGTTTGGGACTAGATCATGGAGCTCTGGAGCGTTGAAGGTCTTGGATTAATTTGTGTGAATTAGAGGCACGTGTGCATTCAGTAATGAATAGAGGTGTGTGTGTATCTCTTGAGTGTGTGTTTGTGTGTGGACAGAGCCGTTAAGGCCCTTGTGTACTCAGGCTACAAAGGGTGTGTCACAGGCAGGAAGAAGTCCCCTAAACTTCCCAACATGTTTTCTGCTCCAAAAAACTTGACAAACACACCTTTTTAATTCACCTTTTGCAACATTTTACATGTTGAATCAAATAAATATTTATCATCTGCCACCTTTCATGCAAGAGTTTTAGACTAAAATATTGAGAAATGACAATGAAATGTTGAAAATGCAAGAGCTCAAATYAAGAGATGTTAAGCAACTTGTTAGCTTTCAGACTGTTGTGGGTATCTCTCAGCTACTACCATGCCAAATTTTAGCTCAGTGTTAGTGTAATTGACTGAGTTATAGCCTTTTTTTGTGTTTGCTAAAGTCTAATAGCTGTGGTGGCCATCGTGATTCAGACAGACTCCAAAAGTTAATCCTTTGTAGGCGTACATGTAATGATTAATTTTTGAGAGTTTTATTATAATCTGTCCAGTGAGTCATGAGAAGTTTTGCTAACAGACAGACAAGGGTGACTCGGGCAAAGTTTTTAAGACCTCGCAGTCTGTTAGCATGTGAGCTCACTTTCAGCTACTATCGCACTGAATTTTAGCTTAAAATGAGGAAAAACTACAGAATTAGAACCACTGATATGTTTGATTAGCTGTGTCGGCCGTCTTGAATTAGATTGCCTCCAAAAGGTAATCAGATGTACATCCGACGAGTTTCATTAAAGTTCATCCAATGGATTACGAGATTTTTTTGCTAAAAAGACAGACGAATGAAAAATAACCACACAAACAGATTATCGCCCACCACTAAAAGTGTGGGGGCGGTGATAAAAAGCTAACAAACACACCTTCATTCAGGCACGGAGGAAACAATAACTGCTTTCTGATCTACATTTACAACGCTTTTACAGCTGTGTAATGTGCGTATTCTATGTCAGGGGAGCTCGTTGGGTCAGACAGAAATCAGAACTGGGTCGCCTGAATCATCTGAAAAGGGTTGAGTGAAATGTTAGAAGTTAATGAGCCTGAACTGTCCGAGCTCGCTGTCATTCTATATGTATAATGAGCCTAACGGGGCCCATAATGAGCAGATATGCTGTAAGTTGGAGGTAAAGGCCTCGGTTTGACGCTGGTGTTTATGTGCTGTCACTCTTCGGCGCGAGGCTGCGTCCTCGTCGGAACAAAGAGGCAACAGTTTGCCGTTTTGCTCTGCAGCGTTTGAATACTGAAACGAACTGGCGAGCGGGTTTTGCTCGCCCCGAACGTGTGTCTGTCTCACTGCCTCGGGGCAGGAACGTTGCTCCGAGTTAGCCTGTAAATTCCTGTCTAAGTGATCTCCGCAGAGAGCAATGAACGGAATTCCTGCAAACGTGTCACTTGCCGCCCCGCTACAGCTTGAGCGCTTTATCTGTGCATCGGGGTYGGCTCCGAATTCCTGATGGTCTCGCTGTCAAAGAGTCAGGCGCAGACAAATATTTGCGCAGGTTTCGCTGTGCGCGCAGCAAACCGCCGACCTCTTTGTCGGGGATGAGGCCTAATTGCGCAACTGGCCCCGCGTGTTTGTGTGCACCGGGCGATATTTCAGGTGGCGAGGCGGCGCGGCAGGTGGAGGAAGAAGGAGTGGATTTGGCAAGGCCGCAAAAGTGAGACAAGGAGAAAGAGAAGAGCAGATAGGGACGAGGTAATCCCTTAGGTAATCTGAATCCCCGCTCCAACGTTGGTAGCATCGGTAGATCAGATGACCTATCAAAGATCAGAACTTCCATTGTGCGTCGCAGCTCGTCTCTCAGTCTGACTCACGTCACCGTCCCTCCCTCACTGCAGCTCCGGCGTCGACAGCTGAAACGAAAAGCCTCGCACAGACGCGAGGAGATCTTTGGTTTCATTTTCCACCGCGTATTCCCATAACCGTCAAACATCAGGCTGTTTCTCCCAGCAACGGTTCAATCTATCCGATTGAATCTAATCGGTGTGTTCCCTGTGTGTTTTCACTTCTCCTTTCCCCAGAGAGACATAAAGGAGTCATGGAAACGGCCATTCAGACAGTGGTGAAGGTCTTCCTCAAGTCGGCCAAAGGAAAAGAGTCTGCAGGAAAGAAAGAATTCCAAAACCTCGTCTCTTCCCAGCTCGGCAACATCCTTTCGGTTAGAATCATTTTCACTGAACTTCTGTGGTTGAGAAAAGAAACAAGCTCTGTGCAAAAGTCTCAGTCAGACAATCAACAGTTCTTTGGGATTTCTGAGGATCTTTATAAAGTTTTTCTTTGGAGTTTGGCTGCTTTTCACTTGCTTTGAGTCCAGTATTTTCAAAGAAATTTTTATATTATAAGGGGGGGTTGGTGGTTAAGCCACTCGATTAGTGTACTGAAGTATAAAAAGGTGCTTAAACTCACAGCAAAAGTGTCAACACAAAACATACAACTTAACTTAATCACCAGCAGATTTGTCACAAAAACACAACTGGTTCCAGATGATTTACGTACATTAGTATTTATACCCAAAGAGCTATTAGCTGAAAATTGGACACACAGTAAATGATTGACTGAAAGATGGTAAATCTCTCAGGTTCTGTTTCAGATCTTTGCTGGATTGTTTTTTATTTCTCTCTCTCTAATATATGACTTGTACATGGACTGGACTGAGCAAGAAATACATGAAAAAGCGGCCAAAGTCAAACAAAAATGACCACTTTAAAAGATAACAAGAAATTGTGGCTGGTTGGAAGCCTGTTAAAAAGGCTAGAGGGAGCGCTGTATGACTTTGCTCAAGAAGCTGAAACCAGGTTACTTAAGCTAATAGGCCTAATGCTATCTAAAGGTTAAAGAGTATCTTAAAACATTAGCTAAAAGCTAAACATAGCAAAACACTAGCTAAATACTAATAGCTGCCAAAGTTGAGCTACACGTAAAAGTTGCAGAAACAAAGCTAAAAGCTACAGTAGGAAAAGTTTATCTAAAAGCTAAAATTAGAAGAAGCAAAGCGAAAAGCTGCAGTAGTAAAAGTTTATCTAAAAGTAGCTGAAGCAAAGCTAAAAGCTACATGTAGTAAAAGTTGATCTGAAAGCTATAAGTAGTAAAAGTTGATCTAAAAGCTAAAAGTAGCAGAAGTAAAGCTAAAAGTAGCAGAAGTAAAGCTAAAAGTAGCAGAAGTAAAGCTAAAAGCTACATGTAGTAAAAGTTGATCTAAAAGCTATAAGTAGTAAAAGTTGATCTAAAAGTAGCAGACGTAAAGCTAAAAGTAGCAGACGTAAAGCTAAAAGTAGCAGACGTAAAGCTAAAAGTAGCAGACGTAAAGCTAAAAGTAGCAGAAGCAAAGCTAAAAGCTACAAGTATCATAAAAAAGCAAACTTGTACTTTGAAGCAGATTTTATAAAGAACAATGTTTTTAATGGAAATAAAGAGATCTCAGTACATTTCTATGGGGAAAATCTTTGTAAATAAAGTTGAAAATCTTCATGTTAATAAAACTTTTTGTTGTTCTCAGGGTGCAGACAGCAAGGATGCAGTCAACGACATGTGTCAGGGACTAGATTACAATTCAGATGGCAGGGTCGACTTTGAAGAATACATGAAGCTCGTCGGCTACCTGGCGTGTTCGCTCAGCGAGCAGCGTGTCCTGAGCGCAGAGGAGCCGGCGCAGAACGCAGCGACCGGACAGGTCGCGCAAACTGCCCCCAACAACACAGAGGAGCAGCCCAAGGAAAACGCAGAGCCGAAGGACGAGGCGAAGCCCGAAGACGCCAAGGAAGAGGCGAACGCGGACGCAAAGGCGGAGGTGAAGGTGGAGGCCAAGGCAGAGGGGGAGAAGAAACCAGAGGCAGCTAAGGAAGAAGCAGCAGCAGCGACGGCTTTGGCGGCATCAGCCGACGTGAAGGTGGCCGAAAAGGAACCAGAGAAGGTGGAAGAGACGGTAAAGGTGGAGGAAGTGGCAGAGAAGTCGCCCACCGCCGTTGAAGGAGAGAAGACAGAGGAGGCCACATCGTAGGGGACGATCCATCCCTTTACAAACACACACTACACAACATACGAATAATGCCAAAACAAGTTGGAAAACCACTATTTTTATATATAATAAAATACAAATATATGTTAAAAGTTTTACATCAGCTATTAAAAAACACTATTCTTTTTATATATAATTATATAAATGACAGTAGCTYTGTGCTGCCAATTACCACTATGTTAATATGTACAGCATGTGCATCCCATTACTTAGCACATTTACCTCATTCTGATGAATTAGCATGCACTTGTACGCTATATTGTACATGCAGCTGTGAAAGCTTCCCTGTAAACTAGGATATCCCTGGAAACTTGACTGAAGTATCTTAACACACCACTACATTCCCATGCTTTTTATTTTTATTTTGTTGTGTATGTTTGTGGAGAGAGGGCTTTTTTTCTGATTCTGTCCATTGAGATAGTGATATTTCTGTTTTCATTCAAACTGAAATTGTCCTATTTTTTTTAACTGGGAGCACTTAGGTSTTTTTTTTTTACACTCCTGACCAACTTAGCACAATTWAAAAAAAAAGATTTGCTAAAGTTTCATCTCACCTAATTATCTCTCTGCCCATACCTGTGAGCTGTCCTGCTTTTATCCTTCTTTTTCAGCTCTAGCTTTACTCTCACTCAGCCACGAGTTACAAACTGGAACATYAGGCGTGACCTTTGGCTAAATAATTAAGACACAAGGATGGAATCTACACTTTAAAGGAGCATAAGTTTAAAAAAATAGGGAGCACAAAATAGTCCCAGTTAAAAGGGCTCGGGGACTAAGAGCAGGTGTCTGTGTAACCTAATCCACCTCAGTAAAGAAAAACARCTTTATACTACGCCGTGAATTACAAAGAGGTAGTAATTTTTCTGCAATAAAGAGCGGTTAAATGGTGCTAAAACGTATTGTGTGTTTTTGGTAAATCGATTACAGTTGTTTGCAGGTTTTAGTCTCAGCTTTTTGGGGCTTTTTTTTATTTTCTTTAGCCGGCCACACCCTTGAACGCCCTGTTTGACCTGCAACGAGATCCGCCAGCATTAAGCATTGGGAAATGACTGGATTAGGYATTTCATGAGTAACACACCCTGAGACACAAACAATTGCATGAAAGTAATCCTGGACTCCAGTGATCTTGCTCCTCGGGGCGATGCGGTGATGTTGCCGTCAGAAGCTGCTCTTTTGTTAAGCGGGCAACAACGGTGGCCTTTTCATACCGCATTCTCCATTATTTGCTTAATGTGCTGTTYTATTCTTATTATGACCACTACTTGTATCAAAAATTTACCTAAAAGTTATCTTTTTCAATGCAATTTTCAATTCTAATGAGTGATTATTTTCTGCATACGTCAATAAAGCAAAATAAAAAAAATACACTACCAAACTGTTGCACCTTTCAGCAAATAAAACCCGTAAAGACGGATCACGGGATCACCCTGCCTCACCGAGACACTCCCATTGTAAATCCTCTCATTTACAACTGCAAGCTCAACTGTTAAAAACGCTTCCTGCATTCACTTTTACTAACACACTTCCTGGGAAATCTGGGCATTCAGACTGTATRATCATGTTTTGTTTTTGTTTTTTTCCTCATGAGCTTTGGTACTTCCTGTGAACAACCCTTGAACCATCTGCTTCTTGTTCAGGTGGGACTATAAGGTACATCAGGGGTGGTTCAAGCGAAATTCTCTGAACTGATGTGTTAAAATAATTAAACTTGCACTACCAGTGAACTCCTATTAAATGTGAGCAGACTTGAATATCATCTGGAAAATGTCACAAACTTYGTTCGTTTTGAGCTTTTTGTTTTAAGACCAGCATGACTTATTTCATATTTAGCCGTTTTTCTAATTCCTGTTCTGTGGCGTAAAATCCACCCCATTTAGATTTTGATAACAACCGCGTACAGTAGATTTTTAACAAGTGTCCCAATGCCAACCACAAAAAAAAAACGTCTCTCATTCTGACATGCAGCAGATTAGGATTATAATACAGTTAATAATTCACCAAAAAATGTTTGTGTTATGGGATCATTCCCTGGATTTTGTGCAGACTTCCATTTGTTTATTTCCTGCAAAATACTGGAAACTGTTCAGCAGCTGGACTCTGTCCATTTTAACTTTGCTGTGCTAATATTATGTAACGCTGTATTATTTGTGCCTAATCTATGTAATGGCTGATATAGAATAAAACTGTGACAATATGTTTTTATTGTGTGGCTCGCTCTGTTAACAATCTAAAGCTGCAGTCAGAGGTTTACATACATTTTTTTTTTTTGGACAATGAATGCTGCTTCAGTGATTTTTATAAACAAAATGAGGGCACAAAGTCACAAATATGTGCCTACACATCCACTCATTTTTGGTTAAACGGCTCTCAGTAAGGTGCATCTTATCCACACTTTGACGGAGCTTATTTGTTGTAAAAGAGTTGATTTTCCGACATAAACCCAGCTTTTAAGCAAAGTCCATGGATTTTCAATGTGGTTGAGTTTGGAGCTTCAGTATGATGCTACCTCCACCATGCTCAACAGCTGAGACAATGGTCTGAAAACCTCACCGTGACCTCTCCAAACGTACGTCTTTGTGGTCACAAAGCTCTAACTTTGTCTCATCTAAGCATAAATTTTGTCTCCAGGAGACGTTTGGTTTGTCCATGTGGGCCGATGCAAATTTCCATCGAACTTGAAGGGTCGCATTTGGACCATGTGGGTTCTCTCTTGGACAGGGACGCTGATATTCCATCAGTTATCAGTTCTTGGCAGGCTGGAGCTTTGGTCGTTTCTTGGGTTGTTTCTGACCCRCTTTTACCAATCAATCTATTGAGTACTGTCAAACAAATCCTTCTTATCCAGCTGCAGTAAGTCATCATTAGTAAAGCAAGAAGGCACTCTAAATAACTTATATTAATGTATGTAAACACCTGACTGCAACTTTATACGGTAAAAAAAAGAACAACAGATGGGGATGGAGGGAGGGGAAACCACCTGCAAAGAGAGGAAGAGGAGGCAGTGAGGGGGGTGAGGAATGGGTCCAGGAGGAGGGAGGGAGGGAGAAGGAGCCGGTGATATTTAAACCAGTGGCGAACTCTCTCCCCATCCATCCTTGCCTCGGCTCAGTCCCCTGCTGCTCTTTAAAGACAAAGGAAGCCCTCCATCAGCACTCAGGTAAGACAGAAACACATCTTCACTGGACTTTCTCCTCTGCATCCGATAAACTCGAAGCTTTAGTCCAGGACGGACGATTGACCTTGGAGACTGTTTGTGTCGTCTTGTGGGTTTACTTCCAGTTGCAATGAGAATAAAACAGTAAAGCTCAATTTGTTGACATCATTGTAGAATAAACACCATTAAACTGAAATAATACCTCTATATATCACGTTTCTGCATTTTCAACATGGCTTCTTCATTATAGGCACCATAATCAGTGTTGAGTTACTGACAGAATTTGCATCTCTATGGTTTCCCTATTGTATTGTGCCAGTCACCGAGACAGATGACCCTATAGATTTTCCAGCTTTGGTGTCCACTGGTCTTTGGACCCGATAACCAGTGACTGACAGCTGCTTCTCCTTTTGTAACCATTTATAAATCATGCACAGGGTGACCGACAATCTATCAGTATGATGATTTAAGTTGAAGCAAAGTTCATTTTTTTATTTCTGTGCATCACTTTGAGGTATAAAGTTGAATGTGTGTAATCTGCCTGTGTTAAATTACTTACCCCCCCAGGAGTTTCTGAATGTTAAGTGTTATGTTTCACTTCCGGCGTCCATTTGGACCGATAAGGCTGTCACACGAGTAACTAACGGACATGTTTTACACCGAAACCAGTGACTTGGGCAGCGTTAATCGTTAGACGCCTTACCAATTACATGAGAGATGACCTGTTGTGTCGGCAGATTCGCACTCAGATTGCGCGCTGTTGACTGTGACTTATCTGTGTCTGTGTGTGTGCACAGTCTCCCCACGAGGCCAGGCACAAGACGCACCCAAGATGCCGGACACAATGTGTGTAAGACCGTTCGAAAAGCTCCTTCCAACGCTATCCTCCACCTTTCCATTGAAAGCTGACCTCACTGGGTCAGCTTTAGCATTTAAATAAAAATAAATATAAAAAAAMCTCCCTTATTTGCTTCCTTTCTGACTTTATCTCAGAGGTGGCTTCACCCTTGATTTGCTATGCGGCCCCACGCATACGACAAGGGCTGGAGCGGGCATTTTCCCGCAGATTCTAACCTGTTGACCCCTTTTTCCTTCCAGCATGTCCAAGGAGCCCTCTTCCAACCTGGAGAGCGCCATGCAGATGCTCATCAAAACCTTCCACAAGTACTCAGGAAAGGAAGGTGACAAGTACACTCTGAGCAGGGGCGAACTCAAGGAGCTGCTAATAGAGGAGCTGGGCAGTTACCTCGGGGTAAGAGCGGCTTTTGCCAACAGATAAACATGTGCGCTCAGATAAATGCAGTGCTTCACACAAAGCGCAGGTATGCGTTGAAATGCGAGTTGGAACAAGCTGGCGCAGCTTCGAATGCCCTCAGACACGCATAAACCAAACAAAGAATAAGAGGGGAGATTCTGAACTCTCCTTTCCCCCCCTGACAGAACTCCAAAGACAACGAAGCGGTAGAAAAGGTGATGAACGACCTGGACGCCAACAACGACGGCGAGGTGGACTTCACAGAGTTCATCATCCTGATGGGGGCCCTCACGGTCGCCTGCAACGACTTCTTCCTGGAGTACAAAACGGACGACAAGAAAGAAGGCGAGTCGGCACAGAAGTAGGGTCGAAACTGAGCGACGGGGAAACAGGAGGAGAGGAGAAGGAGGGGAACGAACTCTAAAATCTGGTGGCTTCTATTTTTTCTCTCTCTCACTCCTTTTTAGTGCAGTTTCTAAACACTGCAAATACAAACGGGCAAAGATGTCAAACAGCTAGTTTCTGGGTGCACAAAACACGTGGAATTCACTGAGAGGACTGTTATTCATACCAAAGCTAATCCGGATCAAGTTCCACYGAGCCACTTCACACATACAACAGGGTCCATTTCAACACAGATCAACTCAAATGTCTGTTTTTTTTTTCCTAGCTTTAAGACACTGGAAAAAAAATGGAGTTCTTCAGAAATGAATGTCTGAGTGCTTCTTGCACATGAATAATTTGTGAACATATATACAGTTTCAGATCATCATAAATATTGTATGTAGTCAGTGTTAAAAAATAGGAGATCTTGCACCTATTTTGTAATCTTTTTTTTTTCAGAAATAACCAATGTTTAAACATATTAAACGTCACATTTAACCAACAACTACTGGCTGTTTATTTGGTTTTCAGGTGTAAATAAATGTGTGTATAAACTTGTGACAMCCATTTGAATAATATCGTAATATATGAAGTGAAATGTACACCAGCAGAGCATTTCTAATCTATTTAAACAGGTGTTATCTATAATATTGTAATCATGAGCTAACAATACATTTTCCACTTTTTAATGAGTTTTAAGTGGTTGTAAAATGTAAATAATCTACATACCAGAATTACAAAACTCCGTAATACTATTAAATTAGTTCACCTTTATTTTTGTCAGTTTTGTCCTTTCATCTATCAATCAAGTGGTGCTATGGCACCCTCTGCACCCCTATTTCTTGCAACCCCATGGGCAAAACACTGTAACCTGAACTGTTTGGATGCTGTTGGGACACAAATAAAGAGCAGAAGCAAATGATTTGTGTTTCACTGGACTGGTAAAAGGACATCAATTTAATAGTTTGTTTTTATTTTGTTTTAAATATAAACTCAATCTTAATTTTATGCAAGCTGTGCGTTCAAGAAAAGTTGAGGTGACCCATTTTTTAAAAAAATCTTGCTGAAGAAAAAAATGCTGGGGCTACGACTCATTAAATGTTTATTTCCCTCCCATCAACTTTAAACATTCTACACTAAAAAAAACATATGTAGTGGATTTAAATAAAAAAAATACATAGGTCAACTGCTTCCAGTCAACTAAATCAAGTTAAGGAAACATGTTTACTTTACAATGACTTCCATTTACTTAAAGTCAATGTAAAGTGATTGTGCCACCTTAACCCAATTCAGCTGAGAGGAAACAGTTGACATATTTTATTTATTAAATCCATTATATCAGTTTTTTTAGTGTATGTGGGAAAACAGGTCAATGGCATATAATCTATATTTAAAAGTTAAATCATGCTGAAAGTTTGGGAATATGGTGCACATTATTCTCAAATATTCAGAAAATATAAAAATAATAAAACAATAGGTTTGTCCAAAACAAGGTTTTGAATGTGTGACTTTCAGATGAGACACAATTCTCAAGTAAAACCTCTGAAACATAAAAAAATAATTTCTTTGCTTAAAACTAAAATGTGTAAAACAATAAAAGAAATAAGTTTTATAAACAAAAGCGAAACCGTATAACTTCAGAAACACTGCTAACTTTTGTAAATCATAGACATCTATGATGATATTTTATTAACGTGTGTAACTGCTGAAAAAAGGAATTATTACTCAATATTATGGAGGTTCATTGCAGCCGCCATTCTGCCATTCAGGGAAGACTTTGCTCATTTCAGCAACAATCGACACATAATACTAAACGTACATGACCAACCTGGTCTGCTGGAAATCTAGACCACTAAAAATAGGCTCATAATAAAACAAAAAGCACTGTCGACCAGCAGAAATTAAAACAATTAAAAATAAACACTTATTACTTGTTAGTCTCCTCAGTAGGATTATCATGGCACTAAAACTACAAAACTTGACACTGGATGCAGTTTTTGAGGGAAAAAAAGGACTCGCAATTAATGACCAGCAAAGCAGCTCTGAGATATCAGAATATTTCTGCCAGAATAAGCACGTTGTACAAAAATCACAAGGGTGTAAAAGTTAATAAAATAGTGTTTCCATGAACAGCCATGAACATTTCTGAGGCGGGAGTTGCTTTGTTATTTTGGTAATTAAACAAAGGACGAAGAAATCGACCTGAACAGTAACAACACGGTTTCACGTGGTTTGAACTCGTTGGTTTCTTGTTTTCAGAACATCGATAGACATTCACCCTCCAAGCAAAGTTTCTCTGAGCCGCTGTGACTTACCAAAACACTGGTATYGTGTTTAAAATTTTAGTTTCAGCTGGATTTTTCAGGCCACAGCAGCTTTAAGGCAGCATCAGTTCACTTTGTGCTTAGCCTCACACTTAAACACTTCTCAGAAAATTGTATTCCTCTCAACGGAGGCCATTTGAAAAGCTATCTAAACAGGTAAGATATTTATTACTTGAACAATCCCTTCAACTCCGAAACAGAAGACATGCAACACCGTGATAAATATGTATCGGACGTGCACTTCCTGTTTACATAGTTTTGCTATTCTGCTTTTTGAAACGACACACCAACCTTTGAGGGAACTGCATGGTTCATGTGGTGGACTTTAGAACTGTTGCACCTGGATGTACAGTGTTAAACGAGGAGAATGTCAGGAAACGGTGTGTGTGTTTGTGTGTAAGCATGTCTGTCATTATGTGTGTATGTGTGTGTGTGTATGTGTGTCTCTTTGTGTTGGGGATTCCCACAGAGAAAACAGCTCCAGCTCACACATCACATCCTGCCAACAATATCCTGCAAGTCTTGTTCCACTAGTTGTAAGCTGACCCAGATGTTTGACTCGAATCTGCCTGGAAAACGTCTTCAAAAGAGGAAGACGGAGGAGGGAARGAGAAAAGGAAGGAGAGACGGGGGTGGCGTGATGTATGAAGAAAAGGACAGCGAAAACTGGGAGTGGATCCAAATTTTTCAAGCGCATTGCTCAAGTGCGGAACTTGGAGAGCTGGGGTTAAAATCACAGAGGAATGCTTGAGTTGCTGTGAAAGAAAGCAGCCCTTTTTTTTCTCCTTTTTGTTGCATTTGTAGGTTAWCACACCCTCTCCCACCTCATCTTTTTTCTTAAATTTGATAAAAGATCAAAAGCGAAGCTCAGAAACAATCAATCAACCCAGAGAGAATGGTTTCCTTTTTTTTATCTGGATGGTTTTAACTCATTCAGGTCAGCCAGTGTCCGTGGGCGTGGCTTTCATTCCTCGTCCATCTGTGCTCTCCAAAGGTGTCCTTTGATAAATTTGTTTGAATGTTTGAGTTTGGCACGACCTGCTGACAAGTTCCCGTTTCAAACCGGTTAACCCTGCCATGACCTGAAGAGAAACAAACAAAGCTTCACGGCCTCGATAACAGGATTTTTAAAGGCCGAAAAAGAGTTTACACGTTTGGAACGAAAAAGGGAAAAATTGTTGTAAACTTAGAGAAACTAGCTTTAACACCAAAGAAGAATTTGTGTTTCAAAACTCCTTTTGGGGGGGCTTTAAAAGTCACAACACTCTGTGTCCCATATGTCAAACACAATCAATCTGCTCAGCATCTGCACCACATATGACCTCAGAATAAATGCTCTGATTTTTCACTTGAAAAACAACACAGTTCACTTCCAGAGTAATAAAATCATGAACACTTTTATTAAGGGATATGACATGATTTACCAATAATGATAGCCTACAACAGTATAACATATTGCTGTTTTAATGTTATGTTATAGATACCCATTTCCCAAGTCAGCCTCTGTAAATATTGTTTCATAAATGCATTTATTGGAAAAATCCTTGTTTTAGTCCGTTGAGTCTTCCTCGCTTTCAGTTAATCCCACTCTGAGAAATACAGCACCAGGATATGGCGCTGCACAGAAACTCCCTGTGTGAAGCTCTAACACCTTACAGTCTAAAATAATTTCAACTGGTACTGTAAAAAACTTTACCTCAGGTGTAGGAGTTAAAGTATCAAAATTTGAAGATTTGTAAACAAATTATTCTCTGCAAAAAATGGTATTTGTTTTGACGCAACCAACATTGGAGCATTTTTGGAAATCCAGTGCATCAGTTTGTTTCCATGTCCACTCTGCTGCAACGTACCTCTGTCGGCTAAGGTCTGCCAGCCCCTAAACCCAGATTTTTGTCACTGTGTGTGTTGCAGTGTACGCCTCTTGTATCTGAATTGGTGGCACCAAAAATACAAAAAGATTGAGAGTTAAAGGACCAGGACATGTCTACTTCCTGGTGAGAAATCTGTCAAGACATTAGCCACTGGAAGAGCCATGCAGAGCAGGTAAGATATTATTGTTTATAACATTTTCCACTGAACCCCACTTTACAAGCGCTGATCCAACACTTGAAGTCACATGTCAAACTCAAGGCCCTCGGGCCAAATCTGGCCCTCATTAACATTTTAWCCGGCCCCAAAGGTTAAACTTTAAACATTAAATAGTTTTATGGTTTCTCTTTTTGTCTCTCGTGCCTTCTCATGACGGCTAAGCCAAGAAAATAAGTTTTTAATTTTTCAATAATTTTTGACTTTGGTGTGTAAAGAACAGAGAATCAATTTTAATTGGGTTTTTCTGTATTCTCTTATTTTTAGTGAGGGTTTTCTTTTTGTTTTACCCCATCTGCTTGATTGTGATTAAATGTATCTCTTGGATATATTAAAAGAAAAAGTTGTTGCTAGCGAGTAAGGCATGAGAAATTAAAGAAAACGGTTTCTAAACGTAATCTTTTTTTTCTTTATTTGGTTAGGAAATGCTCTGTCATTTTTCTTTCTAGAAGAATAAGTTATTTGATATTTCTTTAATAAATATTTCTAATTTTGTCCCCCTTGTTTAACTGAGTTCGACACCCCTGCTTTAAGTGGCGCATCGGCTTGTAAGTGAAGTGTATCAGCTGAGACGAACATCCTCTGTGAGTTATGCTTCTTTCAACACTAACAATGGCCACTGAACATCCTGCGAGCGCGAGCTGACAACACGCCTGACCTCACCGCGGGAGGTCGAACCCAGCAGCAGCAGSAGGAGCCTGAACAGATGGATCGCACACGGCAGGTGATGCCTCTGGGAGGAAAGGAGATGAGGAGCCCAAAAGGCCGGCTGTGTCACTGGCACTGAGCCTGATGCCTCCGATAAGGACGACAGGAACACTTCGGTTACCAAACAGAGCCGGTCAGGTGAAACCAAGATGTCAAGCCGCCGCATCCGTCAGACAGGGAGTCAGCCAGCGATCATGTCAAGCTGTCATGCAAGCCGAAGAGGAGGCAACAATACGACAGCATATGATAGGACAGGATAAAATGATTCATTCAGGTATACGGCAGGTTAGGCTCCGAGTCRAATCTATGGCGAAGAATCCCTTTCCAGGTGTAGCTGGCAACGTGTTGTAGAATTTGAGAAGGCCAGCTGCTTTCATGTTGATGAAATCCATCTTGACAGAAGTCCTCAGGGAGATTCGTTGAATGCAGAAAACAAGTCATGAAGACAAAGATCTACTTCATGAAGAGCCAGTTTTTATGTTAGAATATACATTTCCTCAAGTTCTGTACTTAACCCTCCTGCTGCCCTTGGGTCAAAATGGCCTATGAGGTCTTGTTAGCGATATGTATGTTTAGAAAACTTAACACTGTGTTAAACATTTACTATGTTGCTGCTTTACACAAAATGTTATGGTTATGTTGAAGCAAATAGCACCAGCAGAAGCTGGCTTCAGCACACTCTGATAGGAACAGCAAATTATTTCTACAAATTAATGTGAAACTGGTGATCATGTCGATGTTATTAAAAATAGATTTTGAATTTTCAACTCATTTTTCAATGACAGCATTCAAGCTAAAGGGCCTGGGATTAGCTCCTCAGTCTTGATCCAAAATAAACTCTGTTTCTCAGAACCGAGGCTATTCAAAGAACTCTGTACAACAGGTAAGATATTATTTATTCATAACCTTTCCAAAGAATCCCACTTCATGGCCTTTTGCCTCTGCTGTCATGTAAGACCATATAAGGTCATTTCTGATGACAGTGTTAACCTCAGACAATATAATATAATTCATTTTATCTTTGTAAAAATATATTTTCACTAAATTGAACTAAACAGCTCATTTTTTAAAACGCAGGACAGGCCAGGACAAAAACGATTTGCTGTTCCAAGCAAGTCCAGTCCCAAAAATTTCACAAGATAAGATAAGATAAGATAAGATAAGATAAGATAAGATAAGATAAGATAAGATNGATAAGATAAGATAAGATAAGATAAGATAAGATAAGATAAGATAAGATAAGATAAGATAAGATAAGATAAGATAAGATAAGACTTTATTGATCCCACAGTGGGGAAATTTCCAAAGGTTCATATAAACTATTTTATAAAGCCTGGCAGACAAATATCTTTGCATGTTTATTATAGCAGAACATATTTATAGCAGAAATATCAGGATATTCCTGCTGGAGGTGCCCCAAAAGGGTCACAGCTAGCTACAGCTGCAGATTTTTACAGAAATAACTTGGTGTAAAGGTGTATAAAATAGTTTTCGTACAAACTGTCATAACTTTTTTTTAAAGATTGGAATTGCTTTAAGTTAAATCAATGGTGGTGTTGGACCACTTAACTGTTAAGTTGCTAATCTGCTYAGAAATAATCTGTTTTTCCAAATGAAGGTCATCCAAATAATTATCTATATCTATAATTAATAACCTTTTCACAGAAACTGACTTTGGGAGATTGCTTTATGTAAAAATACTTATTTTGTCCCAAAAACACAAACAACTTAACTTTTTATGTTCACAAACCTGAATACATATAAATGTTTCTGCATAAATTAATATTGTCTGTATTACTTTCTAACAAGAAGTTAAGTCAAATGTAAATTTAAACTGTTCTTGAACATGTTACACAGTTTCTACCAACACTTATGTTCATCCACCTCTGAAACCAGGTCCAAAGCTGGTAAAAGTGGACGTCAATAAACACAGGACATCTGACACAGGTCCACAAACCATGYGGTGCCACAACATTCACGAGACACCTGAACATCATCTGTGGTTTTAAAGTAATGAAGCTGAACCCATGGATCCCTCGCTTTCATRAAATAAAGCACAAACTCCCGGCATCAAAGATGAATAAACCGTGACGCTGTCCTCCTCCAGGAGTCAAGGAGACGATGGCAGACAGTTATCAGCCTCAGATATCACCCAACCAGGGAGGACGGTAAAGGGGATACGTAAGAAAAGAAGGGAAGAAGAGAGGGATGGTGTCAAATGCTCTCTTTTTTTCCCCCTCCTTCACATTAAGCATCCTTGACATGAGTGTAATGATACTACTCTTAGTCCTTTTAGTACCTTTCATCTACAGGAGCTGGAGTGCAGGACGTAAACTGTTTGTCCTCAACATGATCCTTAGGTTAAACTTTATCCCTCAGTCAGGCCGTAATCTATTCATCCTTTACGCCAACGCTTAGAAATATCCTTTGTTTTGCTATTAGAAGTCATAAATTCAAGAGAAACTTGAGAAGTTGCACTTTATGTATAAATGAATCAATGTCGAATGCTAAACGACTCAAAACAGAGTTGTTTAAGTTAAACAAGAAGAACAGCTAAAATAAGCAAAACAGGTTGAAATGAACAATGGCTAAACTAAAAGCAGCAAAACAGAGACTTAGTAAATCAGGAGATAAAATTAACAAAACAGAAGCCATTTTTTTATTTTTGTGTAGCATGAATGTTTTGTTTTTATGTCTACTGTACAACAAATTGCCTCTTGGATAAAATAAAGATTTTTGAAAATGAGAAAATCTGATTCTAAAGCTATTATCATCAATAATCACAATTAGCAAAATTAGCTGAAAGCTAAATGGGGCAGAATATAGCCAAAAGCTCAAAAAAAGCAGAACAGTAGTTAAAAACCCAAAGGAGCTGCTAAAATAAGCAAATTAGGTACTGAAATTAGCAAAAATATACTAAAATGTGTGAATACAAAGCTAAAATTGACAATACAGGTACAAGAGTAGCTAAAAGTTGTGAAACAGTTGCCAAAGCTATCAGCAAAACAGTAACTAAAATGAACAAAATAGCTTAAAGCTAAATAAAGCAAAAAAAACTTGTTAAAATGTAAAATAAGCAGACTAGTACCTCAAACTAATAGGAGCAGATGGGTACTGTAGCTAAAATTAGTGGAAAAAAGTTTAAAAAGCTATAATTAGCACAAGGGTGACTACAATTAAAAAACTTTAGCTAAAAGGAGCAGAAGAATAGTAGCTAAAGGTAGCATTAGACATTAAAAACAAAGCTTGCAGAGGCAGATTTCAAAAGGGACAATGTTTCTGAAGGAATTTAAGTGATTCTTGATGCATTTCTATTGGCTATTTTATTCTAAGTAAAGTTGAGTGTTTTAAAAAGTATAAAAGCTAAACAAACATTTTGATATATAGAATGATTCCAACGAAAGATCAATCAGGAAAAGAGCAGCAGTCCCAGTATTAGGAAACAATTGTGATCATTTCCAAGAATCATTAAGCTCAAAAATGTCCTTTTTTTGTCCATCCAGRTTCTGCAGCACTGATGAGATGCTGAAAAGCTTTGATCTGACTCAAACTACAGGCCTCTGACAGAAAAGGTTTTATTTATTAGGATCACAGAGAACGTCACAGAAGATCTTCAGCATTGAGATTCAGGACATTTTTATTATCATCTGTTTTACGACATTTGAATGATTGCTTTTGTTTGCTTTTTTAATTTTTACAAATAAAGACTTTAAAACGAACAAAAAGTTGTTTTTTCATGGAAGCTTTGACAGAAAGCTTTAAAGTGACAAAAAAATGTCAAACCTTAAGAAAAAACACCATTTCATGGAGGTTTAATGAATAATAAAGAAATAACATGAAAAAGACTGACATTACTTTTACAGAAAAACTTTCAAACTTTTATCTGTTCCTAAAACGATCCGATATAAAACACCCAGTTTCACATGTTTTTTACACAGTCCTCGAGGAAAAACAGGCCTATTTATCTCTAATTAGAGTGGAGCCATTACTCCATCCGTCACATTGCATCAGGGTGAATCACCCTTTTCACAGTGCACAATGACAGAAAGAAAAAGTTCCCTTATTCACAGTAAAAAAAAAAGTTATAGTGGAGGCAGAAAACCAACAGTTTATATTATAATTTTATGCAATGTTTGCACAAAAAAGCTGCTTCTCAGATCTTTAGAAGCAGAAAGATACGCTTGTGTTTCCAGGTTAAAGAAGTTTTTGTATTGGGCGGTGCAGTGCACCAYCACCACCACCAGAGGGCAGAAAGAGCACATTATTTTCCTACTTTGGTAAATTTAACTCTGTATCAAAACCAAAAACTTCCAGCTTTCAGTAGAGTTTAAAAACACAAGTATGAATCCGATCCTAACCCAGTTCACATTTAAATCAAAATAAAAACGCGCTGTCTCTGCTGAGCTTGTTCACATGCAAAACAGCAGCCCAGGTGTTCTGCATCAGCTGCACATCAAAGGAAAGGGAATGAAAAGAAGCAAATGGAAGACGCCAGCCGAAAGCTCCACACACACTTTATAGATCCGATCATCAAAAGACTGAAAAACAAAAAGTCAGTGGATTCGAGGCACGGGGTGCAGCAGGGTCATGTGTTCGGCACCGTTGAAAGGCAGCTGCTGAGTGCAGTAGTGATGCACCACCTGAGGGATGCTGGGAAACACACAGCTGCTCTGGTCCAACGTGAACGTGTTTTCTTTAGTCTGAGCCACAATGATGTGAACGCAGCCCTGACTCGTCCTGAAACACAAAGAAGGAAAATTATTGTGTTTTTTAAATAGATTTACCTTTTGATTAGCAAAACCAACTAATAATTTAAGTTGATGAAGCTAAAACATTTAAAAGAACGCAAAACAAAAGTGGATTCAGGACTTTTCAACAAAAATATTAATAGTTATTTGTTTTTTTTTTCTGTTTGAAATATATTTTCTTTAAAGAAAATTTATTTATGTGGTCCCTTTTTAAACATTTAGTATTTGCATGACCTGCATCACTGAGAAGATCACATTTCACTTTTTTATTTTTTACTAACAAAAAACATGAACCATATCAACACCTTTTCAGCCCAAGAGTTTTTTTTTACACTTTCAGACAACTTTATGTCAAATATCCGATGCAATTTACAATATCAAATAAAAACCTTATTTCCTTTTGGGTTTTTGTTGCAGCTACCATTTTGTTTTTGTAAACAAAAACTGTTAATATCTGCATCTGGTTTAAAGTTTGTCTGTTAATAACTTGCAGCAACCACGCTTTACAATTTTTWAATTCATTTTTAACTGCTTTTTTTCTTTGCTGTTATGTAGTTCTTTTAGTATAGTTGTCACTCTGTAAGTGAAAATAACTGCACATTCAGCTGAGGCTCACTTGAGGGCAATGGAGTACTTGCTGCTGTCCGACTCGCTGTTCCTGACCAGGAAGCTGGCCTCTCTGCAGCTCTGCAGCTGAAGCTCCGCCTCCTGGCGACTCATGCAGCCGTGGTACCAACTGAGGCAGAAAAGTCAGAGTAGAATCTTGTTTTATACAGACAGATTAAGCTTTTATGCTGTTGGTGTGTGCTCCTCCTTTTTTATTTTTTATTTAGTCCAGAATTTAAATGATCAAAAATCTGTACTGACTGTTTTGGTGCATGAAGGAGATCAGAGGTTTACCTTTGCTTCTCCAGAGGCAGGGAGGGGTCAACGCAGGAGTTTTCATTCTCAGAGCTGACGTTTGGAGCAGAAAGAGGCAGAAGAGTCTGAAGAGAGGATCTCAGGATCTTCTGGCCTTTCTGCTTCAGACTCTGAAGCTGCTGCAGCTGAGCTGCTGGATGCTGAAGCTGCCTTGTGATTTTGGAATGAGACGTCTCGTCTTTGACGGGGTTGTCCAATTGTGCTGAGGAAAGTGTAAAGAAACAACTGACTCTCTGCTTGAGAGTGAACTTGGTTTTGAAGTTGTGAGTAAATAAGATAACACGAAGACAGCATTTTGATGTTTCATGCAAGACGTTCCTCAGACAGCCGTTGCTCTGAGTAGCTTATAAAATAAACATGTGAGTGTAGGTCTGGCAGAGTCTCAGCACAATTTTTTWTTYTTTTTTTTTTTTTTTTTTTGGTCTGCAGTACAGCTGATAAAGGAGCAGACAGGAAGTTAAAAGTAAAAACCAGAAAAACAATAGCTGAAAGCTAAAAGTACCAAACTTAAAGTAGCAGAAAGTTATCAAAATGGTAACTAAAAAAAGCAAAACGTGAAAATAACAAAACATTGGTTATGCTAAAATTAGCAAAACAAATGCTATGGTTAAAATGAGCAAAACATTAACTAAAAAAGACAATACAAATTCTAATATTAGCAAAACTTTAGCTAAAACAGGCAATATAAATTATATTAGCAAAGCAGTAGCTAAAAGTGTCCAAACTTTGGCTACAAAGAGGAAGGAGATTGGTAGCTAAATGTAGAAATATATTAGCTAAAAAAGATTAGCTAAGCTAAAATACGCAAAACAGATGCTAAGACTAAAATGAAATAGGCAACACATTTTAGCAAAACAGTATGTAGCAAAAATATAGCAGGGAACAGAATAGTAGCTAAAAGTAAAAAAAACAATAGTTAAAAGTTGCAAAGTACTATAGTTAAAAAGTACCTAAAAGTAGCCTTAAAAAAATAGAGTTTGTACATTGAAGCAGAATATGTAGGGAGCAACGTTTATGAAGAAAATTTAATTTATTTTATTTGGTGAAAATTTTGGTAAATAAAGTTAAACTTTTTGAAAAATATTAAGAAACCATGTCTGAAATGAGCTGAACATACTGATATATGAATAGTTAAAATAGAACAAAATATAT